TGCCTGGCAAGACTGGGCAGTCTCACCCCTGCACTGTCGGTGGAATGTCTGGTGCAGGGTTAACTACATTTGCAAGGGCTTGTTCTTGGCTTGCACTGAGTGTTCTTTGTGGGCCTTACCACCTGGTCAGGTGACAGGGATGACATTGGAACCGTGGATGATGAGAGTTTCTTCTCAGACAAAAAAGGAGCTAATCAGTGAGAGAAGATTCCAGATTGTCCCTAGAGCCTGGCACTGGGCCAATGAGCCTGCCTGGCAGTTGAGAGAGAGGGTGATCTGGGTGGGCTTGGGAAGCATGCAGTGTGGGACTTAACGTGGAAATATAGATCATGGAGCCATTATGGTCGTTGATGGTCAGGGGACAGGAGCAGCCGGGCTGGCCTCGTGGCTCCAGATCACTCCTGACATGCTCTAGGTCTGCTCAGGCGCAGGGGTCTTGTGTGGGGATTGCTTGTTCTTTGGCCTCTGATAGGTGTTGCTAGTGGGCCTGGGACTGGTGCGGAGCTGGGCGGGCGCTGGGCTCACTGGGAGGCTTGGTGCCCATGAGTGTGGCATTGGGCTGAGGCCCATTACCCCCAGGTCCATTCCACCTGGGGCAGGTGGCAAATGGTGTCTGACCCCTGGGAACTGAGCACCCCCCCCCCCGTCCGCCTGGACACCAGGCACTTCAGAGGGGTGTGGCTTTCCAGGAGGTGCCGGTGGGTCTTGGGCCGCATGGAAGACACTGTGTGGCTTGTGACATAATGAGCAGGGCCGGGAGGAGGGGTGCCTGGGTGGGCCTCAGAGTCTCTGACTTGTGGTGGGGCCATGAAGCTCCGGGTGCTGGCTTTGGGAGCCATGTGACCCAGGTCAGCGAGCCTGGGCGGCGCTGCGGCCACCTCCGAAGGCCTCTGGGAATGTGTTTGGACCTTGCCCCAAACCCCTGAAATTTTGTTGAATTTCTAAAGCCATCTTTATTCTTTTTAAAAGGTCACAGTTTGCGTAGTCACTGAACATTTTAACTTTTCCCGTTTGGAGTCCCATGTCATCTCTCGTGCCTCCTGTCTGGCTGTTCTGCAAGAACATCTTAGAAGAAGTGACCGGGGGCTGGGGCTGTGGCTCAGGGTTAGAGTACTTGCCTAGCAAGTGCCAGGGGTCGATCCTCAGCACCACATAAAAATAAATAAATAAAATAAAGGTATTGTATCCAACTACAACCAAAAAATAAATATTAAAAAAAAAAAGTGACCAAATTCCTCTCTTCCCAGTGCTCAGACTAGTGATTGGAACAGCAATGGCTGAAACATTGAGTTCCTGGGCAGAGCACCGGCTCCTTTCCTAACACCTGTGGGCAGGTGGCCCACAGACACTCACTTTTGGAAGTGTTTTTTGTTTGTTTGTTTTTGCACTGGGGATAAACCCAGGCACTTTACCTCTGAGCTACATCCCAGCCCAGCCCTTTTAATTTTTTATTTTGAGACAGGGGCTTCCTAAATTGCTGAGGCTGGCTTCGAACCTGCGATCCTCTTGCTTCAGCCTCCGGAGTTGCTGGGATTACAGGCGTGCACCACCGCACCCAGCTTAAATGTATTTTTTATTGTAGTAAAATATGCATCACATAAAATGTACGCTCCTAACCAGTTCAGATGGCACAAGTAAATTCACATTGTCCTGCAGTGTCACCACCTGCCATCTCCAGAGCTTTCTCTTTCCCTCCCCCCCCAGCCCCTGGCAGCCCCTGTCTTCCTGTGAACCTGGCTCCTCTTGGGACTTAGGTGCCATTGTCCTGGGCCACAGTGATTTTCATAATGGAGGAAAGCTTGCTTGACTACAAGGGACAAATCTGAAAACAGCAATTTGCCTTTCTAAGTGGAGTGTGGCTTGGAGGAGAGGCATCTGGGGTGGGGTGGGGACAGCACTGGCTTTTGTGCTTCCCAGCGTCCGCCCTGCCCCGCCGTGGAAGTGCCTGGGAAGACGTGGGTGGCTCTGGCTTTGGAGCCCAGGCTAATAACAGACCTCGTCCTGCTGAGACACACACAGCTTTTGGGGACCGACCTGCTGCAGAGACTGCCGTGGTTGGTGTCTTGAGCCGTGACCAGGGGCTTCTCCAGCAGTCCTCCTGTGGCTTGGGGACAGCCAGTGCTGGACTCCCACGGCTGTCTCCAGGGCCAGGAAGTGGCAGTTCCACAGCCTCTAGCCCAGCCTGAAATTCTAATCAGCCCTTCACCCTGTGATGGCTGGCTCAGGGATGTCCCCTGGGGCCACCCCTCCAGGCCCTGGGAAACAAGGGAGAGGCCTGCGAGGTGGGGGTCCGGCCCAAGCAGCCTCTGCATTTTAAGGGTGATCCCGCCCCTTGCCAACCCCCACCTTGGTTCTTTGTAATTAATAGTCTGTGAACCCCCAGGTGTGTGCTGGGCGCGGGCAAGGGCTG